CTGGGTCTCCTTCTCGGGCTCTAGGGTGACTTCCTGGTCTCCTCGGGCTCTAGGGCTTCCTGGGTCTCCTTCTCGGGCTCTAGGGTGACTTCCTGGGTCTCCTTCTCGGGCTCTAGGTTCCTGGTCTCTTCTCGGGTCTCTTCCGGTCTCCTTCTCGGGCTCTAGGGTGACTTCCTGGGTCTCCTTCTGGGCTCTAGGTGACTTCCTGGTCTCCTTCTCGGGCTCTTGGGTTCCTGGTTCTCCTTCTCGGGCTCTAGATGACTTCCTGGGTCTCCTTCTCGGGCTCTAGGGTGACTTCCTGGGTCTCCTTCTCGGGCTCTAGGGTGACTTCCTGTGTCTCCTTCTCGGGCTCTAGGTGACTTCCTGCTCCTTCTCGGCTCTAGGGTGACTTCCTGGGTCTCCTTCTCGGCTCTAGGGTGATTTCCTGGGTCTCCTTCTCGGGCTCTTGGACGACCCTGAAGTCTCCATATTGTCCTGGTAGGAACCCTTTTGGGCGACTTCCTGGTCTCCTTCTCGGGCTCTTGGGTGACTTCCTGGGTCTCCTTCTCGGGCTCTTGGGGGACTTCCTGGGTCTCCTTCTCGGGCTCTAGGGTGAGTTCCTAGGTTTCCTTCTCGGGCTCTTGGGCGAATTCCTGGGTTTCCTTCTCGGGCTCTAGGGTGACTTCCTGGGTCTCCTTCCCAGGCTCAAGGGTGACTTCCTGGGTCTCCATCTCGAGCTCTAGGGTGACTTCATGGCTCTCATTCACGATCTCTTGGGCGACTTCCTGGGTCTCCTTCTCGGGCTCTAAGGTGACTTCCTGTGTCTCCTTCTCGGGCTCTAGGGTGACTTCGTGGGTCTCCTTCTCTCTAGGGTGATTTCCTGGGTCTCCTTCTCGGGCTCTTGGACGACCCTGGAGTCGGCCGAGAAAACCATCCATATCGTTGGTAGGAACGGTATGTATGACCTTTTGGGCGACTTCCTAGGTCTCCTTCTCGGGCACTTGGGTGACTTCCTGGGTCTCCTTCTCGGGCTCTTGGGTGACTTCCTGGGTCTCCTTCTCGGGCTCTAGGGTGAGTTCCTAGGTTTCCTTCTCGGGCTCTTGGGCGAATTCCTGGGTTTCCTTCTCGGGCTCAAGGGTGACTTCCTGGGTCTCCATCTCGAGCTCTAGGGTGACTTCATGGCTCTCATTCACGATCTCTTGGGCGACTTCCTGGATCTCCTTCTCGGGCTCTAGGGTGACTTCCCGTGTCTCCTTCTTGGGCTCTAGGGTGATTTCCCGGGTCTCCTTCTCGGACTCTAAGGTCACTTCCTGGGTCTCCTTCTCGGGCTCTATGCCCGAGAAGGAGACCCAGGAAGTCACCCTAGAGCCCGAGAAGGAGACCTAGGAAGTCACCCTAGAGCCCGAGAAGGAGACCCAGGAAGTCATCTAGAACCCGAGAAGGAGAACCAGGAATTCGCCCAAGAGCCCGAGAAGAAGACCCAGGAAGTCACCCTAGAGCCCGAGAAGGAGACCCTGAGTCTCCTTCTCGGGCCGAGAAGGAGACCCATGAAGTCACCCTATAGCCCGAGAAGGAGACACAGGAAGTCACCTTAGAGCCCGAGAAGGAGACCCAGGAAGTCGCCCAGAGCCGAGAAGTAGACCCAGGAAGTCACCCTAGAGCCGAGAGGAGACCCAGGAAGTCGCCAAAAGCCCGAGAAGTAGACCCAGGAAGTCGCCAAGAGCCCGAGAAGGAGACCCAGGAAGTCGCCCAAAAGCCCGAGAAGGAGACCCAGGAAGTCGCCCAAGAGGTCATACATACCGTTCCTACCGGGACGATATGGATGGTCTTCTCGGCCGACTTCAGGGTCGTCCAATAGCCCGAGAAGGAGACCCAGGAAGTCACCCTAGAGCTCGAGAAGGAGACCCAGGAAGTCGCCCAAGAGCCCGAGAAGGAGACCCAGGAAGTCGCCCAAGAGCCCGAGAAGGAGACCCAGGAAGTCGCCCAAGAGCCCGAGAAGGAGACCCAGGAAGTCGCCCAAGAGCCCGAGAAGGAGACCCAGGAAGAAGAGCCCGAGAAGGAGACCCAGGAAGTCGTCCAAGAGCCGAGAAGGAGACCTAGGAAGTCACCCTTGAGCCCGAGAAGGAGACCCAGGAAGTCGCCCAAGAGCCCGAGAAGTAGACCCAGGAAGTCGCCCTAGAGCCCGCGAAGGAGACCCAGGAAGTCACCCTAGAGCCCGAGAAGAAGATCGCCCAAGAGCCCGAGAAGGAGATCGCCCAAGAGCCCGAGAAGGAGACCCAGGAAGAAAAACGGCACCTAGCCCTTGCTTATGATGACACCCAAGACCCCCACCAAGAAAATACGGAGGACGTCTCAGCTGCGTCTCCACAGGAAGCAGATTTAACCCAGTCTGAGAGCGACTTTGCCTAAGAGCCCGAGAAAGAGACCCAGGAAGTCGCCCAAGAGCCCGAGAAGGAGACCCAGGAAGTCACCCTAGAGCCCGAGAAGGAGACCCAGGAAGTCGCCCAAGAGCCCGAGAAGGAGACCCAGGAATTCAACTGGAAGTACGATTTAAACCGCAGCATGGATGAACTGGCCGTAGATATTGCTTAGGACATTGATTCATATCTCAACCCTGCCAACGGACAAAACATGCTTGCCGGTCTAGACGAAAAGTAAATTGAAAACAAGCTTAAGCAGATGAGTATACAACTGGCCCGCCTCCTCAATGACATCAAGCTCGAAGCTGATCATATTATTCAGTCAACCGAGGGCGCCCTTGCTTCTGCCTCCCAGGACCCCCGCCAGGTTTGCGTGGCGGGGGTCGTCTCTGCTGCGGCTCCAGAAGACGACTCCTTCTTCGACTAAGAGTGAGGAAGAGGAGGCCGACGCGTGGAAGAAGGTTCTCTTCACGTGACGTTGACCTTAGCTTCCGCTTCCGCATTATTTGATGATAATGATATCCATATTTAATGATAATGATACCGATAATGATAATGATAATATCGGTATTCAGTGATAAATAAATATGTATATATATACATATATAGATAGATAGATAGATAGATAGATAGATAGATAGATAGATAGATAGATAGATAGATATATATATATATATATATATATATATATATATATATATATATATATATATATATATATATATATATATATATATATATATATATATATATATATATACATATATAATATATATATATATATAAATATTTGTATATATATATATATATATATATATATATATATATATATATATATATATATATATATATATATATATATATATATATATATATATATATATATATATATATATATATATATATATATATCACACACACACACACACACACACACACACACACACACATATATATATATATATATATATATATATATATATATATATATATATATATATATATTATATATATATATATATATATAATATATATATATATATATATATATATATATATATATATATATATATATATATATACTATATATATATATATATATATATTATATATATATTATATATATAATACATATATACATAATATATATATATATATATATATATATATATATATATATATATATATATATATATATATATATATATATATATACATACAACGCGCACACACACACACACACACACACATATATATATGTGTGTGTGTGTGCGTATATATATATATATATATATATATATATATATATATATATATATATATATATATAGGCTGCCCCCTTCAATATTTATATTGTACAGTTACACATTATTTATGCTTTCATCTTGCTTTTCTAGGCCACATTAACATCCTACAGATTTACCCAGTATCAATCTATGGATTGGATTTTTTTCCTTTTATGGCCATCTTTTTTAAGAATAAAGGCAACATGAAACAAAGTTACGAAATATAAGAAGTGCATCAGGTATCTTTCATGAGAAAAAGAAATGATTTCTTTTAATCATATTTGACATTAACGTTATATAAATTGAACACCTAGCAACCATGTCAACAGAAATTTTTACTTTACATAAAAGATAAATAGGGGCTTATTCATATCTGCCAAGCCAAATTAATGTAAATCAAAGGGACAGTTATCACGTTCCCAAAGTTCTTTCTTCGAACCCCAGTCCCTAAGATCACCTCTTATCTATAAAACACAGTTAGTACAGTGGTAACGTGCCGGCCTCTCACCCGAGGAGTCGGCGGTTCGCGCCCCGCCCAGGCGCGAGAAGTTGCAATTGTCGCCCGGAGGTTACTGCTGTGGCTGGGCACCACGGTGGGTAAGGACTAAGCTCTGTCGCGTCAGCACTAGTTGACACACGTTGATCGAGTCGACATTAGTCGGCACAGGCCGGCCTTCCCTCATAGCCTGGGCGAGGCTCAGCTTCGCATATCGGACTTATCCTTATCCTTGCCTCTCAAAGCCTTCAAGTTAGTACAGTGGTAACGTGGAGGCCTCTCATTCGAGGAGTCGGCGGGTCGCACCCCGCCCAGGCGCGAGAAGTTGTAATTGTCACCCGAAGCTTACTGCTGTGGCTGGGCACCATGGTGGGTAAGGACTAAGTTCTGTTGCACTAGCTGACACACGTTGATCGAGTCATCATTAGTCGGCACAGGCCGGGCGAGGCTAAGCTTTGCATATCGGACCTATCCTTATCCTTGCCTCATCACTCGATTTCTTTGCAGTAAAAAGATCACAATGAAGTTCCTTGCTGTTTTCCTCCTAATGACCTTCCTCGTGTCTGGGACTTTGGGCTTCGTTTTGCCGATCCCGCTTCCAGTGCCTCTGCTCGAGGGACTGGACGCCAACCTCGCGCTGGGAGATCAGCCGATATTTGTTTCTGCTAATTATGGACGCACACTTGCACATTCATAACAGTTTCAGCAACGTCACTACTAGGATCGACAAATAGGTTTGTTTAAACCTCTTTCTTGGAAAGAGGAAGAATGGCAGCTTTATTGATAAGTGGATTACAAAGAAAATATTTCAAAAAGCTTTTACTCCTCTATCAGAACACTGACATCAATGTGCGAAAAGTACTGCTGAAATTTTAGTTACAGGAAGATGAATCTGGTGTTAAAAAGTCTGTATTGCAGCTTAGCTCATGTTTTTCACTTGTTTCTTTTCACGCTTTAAAAACCTGGAGCGTCAGTAGGATTAATCTGGTTTACAATGATATACCTTTTGTGAGGAAGGATTATGATTTAATGGGTTGATATACTTCATCTGATTCTCAGTTCACGTTTTTTTTTTTTTTTTTATGCTCTCTACATAATTATGATTCCAAGTGGTTTTAATAACTATTACCTCTTAGGGTTCATTTTCTTTCAAGTACTTTCATCTAAGCACCTTAACATCAATGGATTTACTCTGGCATAGCTCACTTTCCTTTATACAGAAGGGGTGTGAACAGTGTTTGGTCTCCTCTGGGTCTTCAGTACGTAGTCCTTTACAAATGAAGGTAATGATAATGATTTTGTGTTAATTTTAAAAAGGGGAGACAAACTAACAAAATTTGGCACTAACAATAACAACAGTAGCAATAACGATGATAATGATAATGTTAAAAATAATAGCAGTAGTAATGATAATAATAACCATAATAATAAAAATGGTAACAATAGTAATAATAATAATAATGATAATGTTGAAATGCAAAAATAGGGATAACAAAATAACAATCGAATGCAATTCATGTTTAATATAATGATAATTATGATAATCTTAATGATACTAACAATGATAATACCTATGATAATAATAACAATAACAATAGAAAATATAATAATAATAATAATGACAATAACTAAAAAACATAATAAAATAATAATAATGATAATAATAATAATGTAAAATCAAGAGGAACAATGCCAACCATAATGATAACAAGGTCCAGCAGAGGACCCTCAAGGACCCCTATAAACACCATGGACAGGATGTTGTTCGACTCGTTATCTTTAATGTAGAAAACGAAGGGCCGGTTGACCTTTAGCGTCTTTCAGAACGGACGCCGTCGCCGCTGCCGTCTGTACGCCTTCGTCCACCTGAATAAGGGCCTTGTGGATCGCTCCATTCACCAGTAATCCTCCGTCAGGTGCAAAGTTGGTCAGATCGGCGGTGGAGGAGAAAAGTTTACGCATTCTCATTTTCTTCAAAGTCTGGAGAAGGAAGGTGTGGATACGATGCTATTTTTAATAGGTGTTTTGCGTCACGATTTCGCTACTGAGGAAAGTTCCCTGTTGGTATTATATATATATATATATATATATATATATATATATATATATATATATATATATATATATATATATATCATACTGTGAGTTCAACAGCAATCCAATAATATTCAATTACATTTAATATGAAATATCTACTATTCATCATTTTTTTTCATCTGTTTCTATCCTTTATCTATTTGTTTGCTAGAATATGTCATTCCATTCTTTAATCACTGAAATACCAGACTTAACTAGCCTTATTCACTAAAATACCAGTCTTTGCTAACCTTATTCAGTAAAATACGACCCTTTGCTTACCATTCCCAAAACTCCCAGGTTCGCTTACCTTGCCCTAATTCAAACATACCGAAATGAGTTCATCGTTGAGAGTAGTCTCCACGCTGAATTTTGGAAACTTCACAGTCAGCGGGACGAAGCGCATCGCCTTTAACTCAAAAGCGAGTCTCTTGGGCTTCAGGCGTCGGACCAGCCATTCAACCGTCTTGGATCCCCTTCCACATCGCGGGAGGAGCACCACCATGGACGCGCTGTCGCCCCTGAAGGGCATCTCCAGCACCTGGGCGCGAAACTTCTTCGAGTCCACTGAAACGGAGTTGGACATATTTCAAGTTCGTGATAATAACAGGTGATTCATTTTACGATTTCCTTATAAAGGTAACTTGGTCTGTGATGGAATTGTGTACATGTTGCCATAAAGAGAGACACCTAATGTACACATAACTGATTTTGATTTGCGACAAATCGATACAAACGCAATGAAAATGGAAAAAATTATGTAACAAGGGACACTCTGGACACAAAGAAAGGTAGGGTTCATTTTCTATAAAGGAAGACTCCCATACATTACCATATTTGAAATTTCCCGTTTGCGACATCATATGCACTTCGACAGACTGTTTCGGGGATACGAAAAACTCCTTGTGGGTACTTTGAGACTTGAACGGGTATTTCCAAATGCCTTTGAAGTAGACGGCGTTAGTTAAGACCATTTTAGCGCCTCCAAGAAAGGAGGGTTGTATAATGTTTGGTATTTTTCCTCGCGTTTCGGCGCTGAAGAAGGCATTGATGTAAGCAGCGGCGGTGTCGGGCTGATGGCAGATTCAGGTTTGATTATTTCGGTCTCTGGAGTTTAAAGAGCCTTTAAAGAAATGTATCTGTGTTAAAATAATAAAAGGAGTTTTTTTCTTGTCCAAGGGCGTCTTCTGTATGCGTCATAAAAGTAAAATCCAGATTAAGTTTTCATCCAAATCCACAGTACTTTCACAGGTGTAGTACACACTACCAGACGCACGCGTCCATGCGATTATCAGTAAATCTGCTCTTTTACAATTAAGAGCGGGTATTTGTGGTCGAAATTAGCAAACTCTTTGTCTCATATCACACGCTAAAGCTGTTAACGAGACGTTTGCTACAAATAAAAAATATATAAATATTTACACATATACGGTAGTCTTATAACATGACGATGTGCATTTGTGTTACTACAAATAAATCTATATAAATGGCTTCAGATGCTTTTTGAATTCTATAGGAATCAGAACTGTAGGTGTCAAACAAAGGATACATCAGTTTATTTTCGCGGGAAAGTTTTCTCCGAGAGCTTTTTCGTGTGAGTGATCGTGGGGCACGGGTAGGGAAGTTTTTTTGTTGCTATCGAGGAATATGACAACAAAATTTCCATGCAGTTAAAAATATTCAGAAAGTTTGTACTTGAATTTGAAACCTAATCGTGATGTTATGAAAGCTTTCTTTTTTAAGTCTGCTGATATGATATATACGTTGGGGTTGTTTTTCCAACCTGGATAAAACATTGCCTTTTTGTATCTGTGGGATTTCCTTTCGTTTTTTATTATCATTATTATTAATGTTGAGTTATTTCTGCAGTTAAATATGTTGATAAAAGTTCATACACATCTTTAGCGTGAAAATGCCAGAATGTTTCATTATTCGCAATAATAAACATGCATGGCAACTCAACTTCCTTTTTTTTATGGAGTTGACGTCATTATGTATCAATACCTGATTGGTTGGACTAACTAGCTCATTCTGAGTATGTCAGGATTAAATTACGAGCTCAAAAGTAAATGCTGGTCCAGAGATGAAATAAAAGTTGATAATGGACGCTGCCATTACGCATGCGCACTAGAGATCTGGATTAAACTTGAATTCTGGATTAACTCTTATGGCACGTACAGACGACGCCCTAAAGCACTGAAGAAGTTAGTTCATTCTACATACATGAAATGATCACCACAGAAGGCTTTTCTCTGTTATTCAAGATCAACGTAAGTCTGCTGAACAGATCTGCCCTCTTGTGCGGAAGGCTTTCACACTGCGCCTGAGGTTTAAGCTATAAGGTTTGAAATGCTTCACTTTGTTTAAGGCTTAAAAGGTTTTATCACTGTGCCTCGGCTAGACCAAGATTGCCAGAAAGATTGCCAGAAAACTCCCTTAACCACAAGATGGAAACGTATCACAAATTGAAATGCAATGTCAGGTTAGAGAGATGTGTATGTATATACGAAGTGATAATGCAGTGATTTAATACAAATGTATGTGTAGATTACCCTCTTTTTGCAGAGACATAATCAAAACATTAGACCATAACTTATAAGCTGTGCTTTTATATAAAGAATGATGTTCGTATCCTCACTGAGCCATGAATCTGTAAGTACATGAGTTCTGATATCCCTATTTTGGATATGCTGCGATGTTACAAGTGATGAAGACTCCCCACATCTAGTAGGCAGGAAAATAAAGCTGTAAGCCAAGTGTTTCTTACCTTCTTAAAGTCTGTGAACTTCACTTGGTCGTCGAGGACTTTTCCCACGCATTTTNAGAAAGATAAATGAATGGATGATAATAATGACGATGATGATGGCGGTGGTGATAATAGTAATGGTGATAAGGATCAATATGATAGCAATAGTGATAATGATAATGATAAATATGAAAGCATAGTTATAAAATAATAAATCGATAGCAATAGTAATAATGATAATGATAATAAAATGATGAAAATTGTAGTAATAATAATGACTGTAATAATAATGACAATGACAGTAGTAATGAAAATGATAATATAGTAGTAATAGCAATGGTGCTAATGATAATCGTTATAGGAATCATTATCATTATCCTTATTATAATTACAGTCATAATCATGATAAAAAAATAATGATAATAAAAAATAATAAGATTAAATTAACCCTAGGAGCCGATTCTTTGAGCAAAGGATTTATGAATAGGCAAGACCAAATAAATGCAGAGATCTAAACATAATCAACAGATGAAATGTCGGCTCTCGCGGTCTCTCTGCGATGTATATCAGCGTGAGTCCCAGCCGCCTCTCAGTAGTAGGTGAAAGTGCGTTGCGTGAGGACTTCTCGCGCTCGTCTGTCACTTTAGGTCGCTGCGTTGGTGCTGGTGTCGAGACTCTCTTGGTGAGCACTGTGTACCGGTGTTTTGTATGATTTGTATGCTGATGTATATCATCGGCCGGTTTGTTAATACTGTGCGAAGCCTGATCCAATTATTATGAATATGAATGTAGACAGACAAATGCATATCTGCCGGATAGATAGATAAATAAATGTATATCTATCAGATAGATAAAGAAATAAGCCTTTATTTGCATGTCTTTATGTATGAATATTCATTGGGTCGGGCCTCGCACAATTTTAACAAACGTCTCGCACACAGAATTTCAAGATGATTTCATAACTTAATGAAAGTGGTTAACATATGAACATATCACTAACCATTCATTAACAGTGAATACAGGACACCCTGTATGATAAGACGTTCATGTGTATGACGTTAAAATTCTGAACATGAGAATCAAATCACCCCAAAATATATCTCTTTGTGATCAAATTCAGATAAAGATTTTTCATTATAGTTCAGATTTGTAGTGTATTAATTAAATCTTAGTTTTGTAACAAATATACACTTACACAGAGAGACGTGGCACCAAACATAGAGCATAAAAGACAATAAACTACGGTTTGTGTAAGTTCAGTGTATCATTATTGTGTGCTTGATGGAATTATGAATAAACCAGATGTAGAGGAGTAGTAAAATATTCACAGGAACAGCTTCGCTAACTCAGTAATCTCTAGCTTTTAGTCTCACCACAGACCATCGTTGGTGTTTTCTGTTTTATATGAATATTCAGATTTCGTAAGGAATTTATGGTACTGCAAATCGCATATGGTAACTGTTGACTGCTGATGTGTGAGGTGACTGAAAGATATTGCGCCGTTCTTCTCAGCATTTTGCCTCCCACCTCATAAGGTCTATTTGCAATCTATTAGGCGAACATGCAATATCGGTTATATGTTTCCTGTGCACCCTATAGTTTTGTGTATACTGCAACCCGTGTCTGAGTCGCTTATTTCTAAACCGTGTTCATTGCGACAAAATAATAAGACCAGATATCTTAATAGTGCTAATGTATCTGGCTCGCTTTTGTCTATAGTTAGAAATACATAATATTTTGACTAAGATATATATATGTGCGTGTGTGTGTTTTTATATTCAAATACCAGTGTGTGCATGACCTTTCAGAACCATGAGAGTGTGCGTGCTGCTCCCCGCCCTCGCCCTCCTGTCACGGGCCAGCTGTCAGTGCCTCTCCTCCTCCGACACCTCGCCGCCCCGCGGCTCCCGATTCTCAAGAAGACGACCCCCTTCAGCCTCGACTTACTCAAGAAGGCTCTCCCTCCGACGGGGAACTTCTTCATCTCGCCCTTCAGCGTCTGGAGCGCCCTCGTCCTCGCCTACTTCGGCTCCCGAGGCAACACGAAGGCGGAGCTGGAGCAGGTTCTGCGGCTCACCAACAGGAGGACACGCTCGCCCTGTTCAGGGCCCTCGAACGGCGGTGAGTGGGTTGACGCGATTAAACCTACCGAGTGAACCGTTAAGACAGGTGGTAGGTATATATATATATATATATATATATATATATATATATATATATATATATATATATGTGTGTGTGTGTGTGTGTGTGTGTGTGTGTGTGTGTGTGTGTGTGTGTTGTGTGTGTGTGTGTGTGTGTGGCAGTAACGTGTATACAAAAATTATAAAGAACAACAAAAAGATTTTTTAAAATTCATATTGTTGGTTTATTCATTTTCGTGTATATGTATATAAAAGTATATACATGTATATTATATATATATATATATAATATATATAATATATATATATATATATAGAGAGAGAGAGAGAGAGAGAGAGAGATGGACACGAATACCTTGATGATAACAAAAAAGGATCATGATTTTATAATGCAAGTAATACCATTATCAGATAATAATTTCTACTAAAATAACACGACTGCAGCTATGACTCCCAAGAAGCAAACCAGAACTACACCATCAACTCGGCTAACAGGATATACTTCGACCAGTCCATTCCCGTCCGAGAATGCGTGGGAAAAGTCCTCGACGACAAAGTGAAGTTAATAGACTTTAAGAGGGTAAGAAATACTTGGCTTACAGCTTTATTTTCCTGCCTATTAGATGGTCTTCATCACTTGTAACATCGCAGCATATCCAAAATAGGGATATCAGAATTCATGTAGTTACAGATTCATGGCTCAGTGAGGATACGAACATCATTCTTTATATATATAGTTATGGTCTATTTTTTTTTTTATTATTTCTCTGCAAAAAGAGGGTAATCTACACATAATTTGCATTAAATCACTGCATTATCACTTCGTATATACATACACATCTCTCTAACCTGACATTGTATTTCAATTTGTGATACGTTTCCATCAAGTGGTTAAGGGAGTTCTCTGGCAATCTTGGTCTAGTACGAGAAGACAGAAATATGAGCCGAGGCACAGTGATAAAACCTTTTAAGCCTTAAACAAAGTGAAGCACTTCAAACCTTATAGCTTAAACCTCGGGCGCAGTGTGAAAGCCTTCCGTACAAGAGGGCAGATCTGTTCAGCAGACTTACTTTGATCTTGAGT